AATTGAAGCACTGATGGAGCAAAACTTGGGAAATTTAATTTCATGGACTGCAACTCCCTGATCCCACAGCTAGCATTATCAGAAGCTATGAAATCCTTGAAGTTATAGTCCTTAAAAGTAACTTTTCCAAGCTGTATGATGGGAAACAACACTTTATGAAAAAGCTCATTCATTTCTAAACCACATAGTCATTCACATTACTACTTTTTGGTGATCAGCTCTTTAGCATTTTGTTAATGCTTGCAAAGGCACACTTGCATTTACATTGCCATTAAACCTAACAAAATGAAGTCTAAGGGGAGAAGGAAAAATACTATTTAATGTTAATATTATCATAGTCTCTGTATAACATGGCAAACAGAGAAACAGTATTACTACCATACTAATTGTATTTTCATATTTGTTGTTCAAATTTCCTCTCTTTTTTCAACTCGGGGCAACTCACAGCAGTTTCACCAACTATTGTAATAGGCTTTCATGGCTGGAATCACTGGGTTGTTGTAGGTTTTTTCGGGCTATATGGCCGTGTTCTAGAGGCATTCTCTCCTCCGAAGATGCTTGTCATAGATGCAGGCGAAACGTCAGGAGAGAATAGCCCGAAAAAACCTGCAACAACCCAGTTTCACTAACTATTCCCCAAATGGCTCAAACACTGTACTTTATTCAGAAGCAACTTAAGAATGTATTTGAATCATTTTAGCAGTCAACTTCTTTTTCACCTGCTCAGTTTCTATAGCTGTAGCTATCTGTTCTAACAGCTGTTTGCAATATTTTGGTTTTCCCTGGTCTCCAAGTAGTATGCATTTTCTGATGTGGTGTTATTGACACAATAGGGGTGAAACTGTTAAGTCTACACTTTCGCAGCTTCTTAGGTTTTACTTGGGTACTCAGAGTACAGTTAAAGTGAATGTAAAACAAACTGGTTTTAAGAATGCCTCCAGGGTTTTCCAAATCGACAAGGTTATCCAGAGTCTTTCCAGACCACAGTCTGGTAGGAAAAGAAATAAAGAAAAACAAAGCATGCCCTGTAGTATTAATTGGCACAGTTTAAAATCTTATAGTCCCCAAGGGATAATAGTTTCATCATGGCCTTGCCACTTACAATGATTGAAAATATTGTCCCTGCCTGTTTACCTGACTTTAGAAGATCTGGGTTTTTTGTTTTAGTCTACAGCTAACTCAGCATCTGTGAAAGCAGTTGCAGTTTAATAGGCTGAAACAGACACCATATAATCACTTCTGAGGAGAACGTAGAGCAAATGATTTACAAGTCATTTACTAACAAAGCACAAATACATATCTGCCTTAATTAATGCTTTATGAAACAAGCACTGGTTAGTCTAAAATATTTTACATTAATATGTATTGATTTTACATATTAAGCAACTCAAAGCAGGCTTTCCAGACATTGAGATAAGTCCATATGCATATAGCACTTAAAACAGACCACATTTACAAGCCTTTTCCACAGCTTAGACATTGCACTTTTAATGTTCTTTTTAGAATTCCCTTTGCCAGTTAAAAGAAATTCGACCTCTGTCATCATGTGAAATGCAGATCTAACACAAATGTTAAGATGGACACTTTATAAAGCTCATTTTTCCACAGGTTTTTGAAAATCCCTTTTCCCCCACACTTGCCTACTTGAGAAAGACTCTTCTTGACTTCATGGACCAACCCACGCCAGAGCTCCCTGTCGGTCGTCACCACCCCAGCTCCTTCAAGGTCAGTCCAGTCACTTCAAGGATACCATCCACCATCTTGCCCTTGGTCAGCCCCTCTTCCTTTTTCCTTCCATTTTCCCCAGCATCATTGTCTTCTCTAAGCTTTCCTTTCGTCTCATGATGTGGCCAAAGTACTTCATCTTGGCCTCTAATATCCTTCCCTTCAATGAGCAGTCAGGCTTTATTTCTTGAAGTATGGACTGGTTGGATCTTCTTGCTGTCCAAGGCACTCTCAGGACTTTCCTCCAGCACCACAGTTCAAAAGCATCTATCTTCCTTTGCTCAGCCTTCCCTATGGTCCAGCTCTCACATCCGTAGGTTACTACGGGGAATACCATTGCTTTAACTATGCGGATCTTCATTGCCAGTGTGATGTCTTTACTCTTCACTATTTTATCAAGATTGGTCATTGCTCTCCTCCCAAGAAGTAAGCGTCTCCTGATTTCCTGGCCGCAGTCTGCATCTGCAGTAATCTTTGCACCTAAAAATAGAAAGTCTGTCACTGCCTCCACGTTTTCTCCCTCTATTTCCCAGTTGTCAATCATTCTTGTTGCCATAATCTTGGTTTTTTTGATGTTTAACTGCAACACAGCTTTTCTAGAACTCTTCATTAGGCTAAATGGTATAAAAAGTAAGAGATGGGGAAGAAACAAAAAATTTAGGGGGGAAATGGAATGGACTGTACAGTTACATTTAATCTCAAAGGGAAGTAAACTGACTCACTGGTTTACATGGTAATGTGAATTTTGAAACTAAATCTAACTCCAAACAGTATACAACCTGATATTTTTTCAACGTTCCTCATGCCGCGACCCCTTAATACAAATCCTCATGTTGTGGTGACCCCCAACCATAAAATTATTTTTGTTGCTACTTCATAACTGTAAGTTTGCTACTGTTATGAATTGTAATGTAAATGTCTGATATGCAGGATGTGTTTTCATTCACTGGACCAAATTTGGCAAAAATACCCAATATGCCCAAATTTAAATACTGGTGGGGTTGCGTGGGGGGGGGGGGAGTTGTTGATTGATTTTTTCATTTGGGAGTTGTAGTTGCAGGGATTTAGAGTTGACCTACAATCAAAGAGCATTCTGAATTCCACCAATTATGAAATTGAACCAAATTTGGCAAACAGAACTCCCATGACCAACAGAAAATACTGGAAAGGTTTGATGGGATTGACCTTGAGTTTTGGAGTTGTAGTTCACCTACATCCAGAGAGCACTGTGGACTCAAACAATGATGGATCTGGACCAAACTTGACATGAATTCTCAATATGCCCTAATGTGAACACTGGTGGAGTTTGGGGGAAATAGACCTTGACATTTGGGAGTTGTAGTTGCTAGGATTGAACCCCACCAATCAGGCATGTAGCCAGAGGGGGGGCTCGGGGGGCTTCAGCCCCCCCCCCCCGAAATTTTCATGGTGGTTCGCGAAAAGGCCTTATTGGTGCATTATTTAAACTGTTATGTTTATTCATATCATGATCTGATCACCATACTCAATATATCCCATATGCATGGGGGTATTGGGGTAATGATACAAAAGGTTTGCTAGGCTAGACCCTCTTTCACTCAGACTCAGCCCCCCCCCCGAAACTCAGCCCCCCCAAAACCCCCCCTGAAAATTTTTTTAGCCCCCCCCCCCCCCCGAAACGAAATCCTGGCTACGGGCCTGCCACCAATGATAGAATTGGGCCAAACTTCCCACACAGAAGCCTCATGCCTTGAAGGGATTCACTGGCACGAGCCTCCCTCCAGCCTCACACATGCTCCCTCACTGGCATATGTGCCAAGCATACCTGCTCTCCTCTCCCCACTGGGAGTCTCAGAAACAGCCCTCCCCTTGGCTGAGAAGCAGGCTGAGAGGCTGGCAAATCACAGCAGAGGAGGGCTTTTGGTGGGAGGGTTTGTCTTCTGTTTCCAAAAAGGAAGACAATGACAGCCCTCTCTCTCTGCCAAAGGGGTTCCTACAACCACCAGAAATATATGTTTTCTGATGGTCTTTGTCGACACCTCTGAAACCCCCATGGGTCCTGACCTCCAGACTGAGAAACACTGTTCTGTACACTACTTTTTATACCACCCAGTCTGATTAAGAGTTCCAGAAAACGTAAAATACGGATAGGTGTGTTGTGTCAAAATTTGGTGTCAATTTGTCCAGTGGTTTTTGAGTTGTGTCAATCATAGAATCAAAGTTGGAAGAGACCTCATGGGCCATCCAGTCCAACCCCCTGCCAAGAAGCAGGAATATTGCATTCAACCCCTGACAGATGGCCATCCAGCCTCTGTTTAAAAAGCTTCCAAAGAAGGAGCCTCCACCACACTCCGGGGCAGAGAGTTCCACTGCTGAACGGCTCTCACAGTCAGGAAGTTCTTCCTCATGTTCAGATGGAATCTCCTCTCTTGTAGTTTGAAGCCATTGTTCCACGTCCTAGTCTCCAGGGAAGCAGAAACAAGCTTGCTCCCTCCTCCCTGTGGCTTCCTCTCACATATTTATACATGGCTATCATATCTCCTCTCAGCCTTCTCTTCTTCAGGCTAAACATGCCCAGCTCCTTAAGCCGCTCCTCATAGGGCTTGTTCTCCAGACCTTTGATCATTTTAGTCGCCCTCCTCTGGACGCATTCCAGCTTGTTCCCACAAATGAACATTACATTTTATTTATATAGATATATATATCTCAATGAAATATTTTCATGAGATATGTTGTTTCCCCCTACATTATTACAATGTATGTATGTGTTTGTGTCTCTTACAAGAAGTTGGTTTGCGGAAAAAACTGAATTACTGTTTCACGTAATGATCGGTGTCTTAAAAAGGGGGTGTCACCAACAGGAAAGGTTTGGAGACATCTGTTGTCATGTCTTTATTATTATTATTATGTTTATTTACATTCAATGCATTTCAATTTCGCATCCACAAACATTAAAACAGAATCCAAGAGCATTGGCCTTCCTCTCGTCGTTGCTTTCCATCCCTCCCTGCAAACTTTGGGTCCCAAAGATGCCAGTGGGAAAGTTTATCCTCTCTCTCTCTTCCCTTCCCGGTTTCTGGAGGCTTTTTTTCTAGAGAAGCCTCCTCTTTTGCTCCTTTTCAACTCATCCCGAAAGAAAGCAGCCAGCAGCAGGTTTCCCTCCAAGTCCGGTACTTTTCAGGCGGCGGGTCCTTTGGAAATGCAAGGCGAGAAGCCCAGGCTTCCTCCCCCCCCCGCAAGGATGAAGCCCCGCCCCTTCCCCGTGGCCCCGCCCCCTCCCTCTCCCCCCTCCAAAGCGCTTTTTAGCAGCCGCCCTTCCTGCGGGCCACGCTCAGGTTACTTGGCGAAGGGCGCGCGCCCACCTCCAGCCGGGTTTTGTCTCTCTCTCTCTCGTGCCTCCTTCCTCGCGGCGCTTGGATTGGGCCGCCCTCGCCTTGACACCGCTCTCTCTCTCCTCTTCCTCCTCCTCCTCCTCTCATCGGAGTGGCCAAGGGGCTGGAGGACGGCTTTCAACAGATGGTTGGGGTTAGTGCATGTCCTCAGCATCGCCTTGGAGTCGGAATTAGGGCAGCCCCAGCGGCGCGGTGCTCTCTGCCTCCCAAATCCAGCGGAAAAGGTGCCTTTTGAGACTCTTTTTGGGGGGTGGGGAGGGGGCTGGGGAGTGGAGCGGGGAGGAGGAGGACGCGAAAGAGGGCTCTCTCCGCCTCTCAGGTCGTTCAGGTGAAAAGAGGACCCATTGGCTGTATCTCTCTCTGTTTCTCTCTCTCTCTGGGTGCATCTACACTGTGGATTCAATGCTGTTTGACCCCATCTCTGTCTCTCTCTGGGTGCATCTACACTGTGGATTCAATGCTGTTTGACCCCATCTCTGTCTCTCTCTGGGGGCATCTACACTGTGGATTTAATGCTGTTTGACCCCACTTTTGAACTGCCATGGCTCCTTGTTATAGAATCCTAGCCCCTGTCTTATTCCAAGGTCTTTAGCAGAGCAGCCAAAGAGTGTGCCAAGCTACAACACTCAGAAAAGGGGACCCATTGGGTGCTTCCCTTTCTCTCTCTCCCCCCCCCCTCTCTATCTGGGTACATCTACACTGTGGAATTGATGTAGTTCGATCCCACTTTTCAACTGCCATGGCTCCAACTTATAAAATCCTAGCCCTGTTCTATTCCAAGGTCTTGAGCAGAAAAACCAAGCTACAACACTCAGGAAAGAGGACCCATTGGGTGCCTTCCTCTCCCCCCCCCCCCCGGGTACATCTACACCATGGACTTAATGTAGTTTGATCCCACTTTCGAATTACCATGGCTCCTTGTTATAGACTCCTAGCCCCTGCCATATTCCAAGGTCTTTAGCAGAGAAGCCAAAGAGTGTGCCAAGCTACAACACTCAGAAAAGGGGACCCATTGTGTCCCTCCTCTCTCTTCCTCTCTCTCTCTGGGTGAATCTACACTGTGGACATAATGCAGTGTGATCCCACTTTTGAACTGTCATGGCTCCATGTTATGGGATCCTAGCCCCTGTCGTATTCCAAGGTCTTTAGCAGAGAAGCCAAAGAGTGCACCAAGCTGTAGCACTCATTCTTCCAACACATGAAGCCATGGCAGTCAAAGTGGTTTGAAACTGCATCAATTTCACAATGTAGATTGAACCCCCCCCCCTTTCTCTCTCTTGCACACACTCACCCAATGCTGGTTTTGAATGGCATGCCAGCCCAGCGCACTTGTCAATGCCAGTTGTGGGTGCTTTATCAATGCGGCTATTGTCCAGCTGACAGATAACACTGGGCAGGGTTGGATGCCTGCTTATCCTCAAGGACCTGAAACTCCTTCCTCCATCATCTTTAGGAGGGAGGAGGAAGCACAGGATTGCAAGGGGGGGGGGCAAGGCACTCTCAGTGGCATGAGCCACCCTCCATTCATCTGCCTTCTCCCTCAAACTAATATTTCAGAAGCTAAACTTCAAGGAGATGGATCGCAGGAGTTTAGTAGACCTTCCAAGCTTCTGGGCACATTCCCCTTTTCAACATTGTGCCCCCTCCCCATAAAAATTGGGGGATCCTCTTTAAAAAACATCCGCCCCCCCAAACCCCGCCCCCCCACAATTTGGACAATGGGATGTTGGAGTACAGATACAGCAGTTGCTGGCTTAGTAGGAGATGAGGCTTCCCCCCCAATTTGTGTCTCTTTAAAGGGACATCTATACAATTTGAGGACTTCTTTTGGGAAAGGAGAGCAGAGCAGGAGTAAGTCAAAAGCTTGGCAAAGCTGCATGGATTTTTTTTAGCGGGAGAGAGAGAGAAGCAGGAAGGGAAGCCAACAGACCTAGTAATGTGGAGAAGCTGCTCTCACAGCTGCGGAGGAGCAGATGGATGTAATTCATTTGCAGGTCTGTTTGTGAAAGTTTTACGAGTTGCTGAAAACTAAGTAGCATTACCATAACGGATCATTAAAGCCTAGCTGTATTAATAGATTCTAAACAGGCTATCTGAAGTGTTAATTAAATTTGGAAGAGCTTTTTTATGTGTCCCTCCTTTTAGGGTGAACAGGGCTAAGGTGCAGTGTGATCCAGTGCAGGTTTCTCTGGCCAAACCCCTTCACAATAGGATTTGCTTCCTTGGAGCAAGTGTTTTCATGATTGCAACCCTTTGGGCCCTATTGCCGACTGGATTTCAGAGTAAGCTCCGCTGAACTCAAAAATGCATTTGAAGTGATATCATGAATAGGATCGGGCTTTTTACTGCTCTCTGGGCTCCTACAAAGGGATGAAGAAAGCAACTCTGCAACTTAAGTAGAATGCAGCTTTGTTTTCTGATCTGCTATTTATTGGAGGCTGTCTCTGTGTGTGAAACAACAATGTCTGCTCCTAATGAACTGAGTCTTGACACTTGAAAATAATGCTTGCATTCCTTGTGAAACACGTGGAAGATTATAGTCTCTCCCATGCCTACTATGGCTGATCTAACACTGCTGTTTCAGCCTTTACAGGTAGGAAATTATATAAATGATACAATTTTTTTAATGTCAGGAGCAACTTAAGAAACTGCAAGTTGCTTCTGGTGTGAGAAAATTGGCCATCTGCAAGGATGTTGCCCAGGGGACACCCATACCCATATGTTTCAATGTTTTACCATCCTTGGAAGAGGCTTCTCTCATGTCCCTGCACGGGGAGCTGGAGCTGACAGAGGGAGCTCATCAGTGCTCTCCCCAATTTTGAACCCCTGACCTGTCAGTCAGCAGTCCTGCCAGCACAGGGGTTTAACCTATTGTGCCACCGGGGGCTCCTAATTATACACAAGCATAACCCTTTATGACAGTGGTTCTCAGTGTTCCTAATGCCACGACCCCTTAATCCACTTTCTCATGTTGTGGTGACCCCCAAACATAACATTATTTTAATTGCTACTTCATAACAGTACTTTTGCTACTGTTATGAATCGTAATGTAAATATCCGATATGTAAGATGTATTTTCATTCACTGGACCAAATTTGGCACAAATACCAGTTATGCTGAAATTTGAATACTGGTGTGGTTGGAAGGGGATTGATTTTGTCATTTGGAAGTTGTGCAGGTTTCTCTGGCCAAACCCCTTCACAATAGGATTTGCTTCCTTGGAGCAAGTGTTTTCATGATTGCAGCCCTATGTACCAACCAAACTTGGCACATAGAACTCACAAGACTAACAGAAAATACTTGGAAGGGTTTGGTGGGTTTTGAGTTTTGGAGTTGTAGTTCACCTACATCCAGACAGCACTGTGGACTCAAACAATTATAGATCTAGACCAAACTTGGCATAAATACTCAATATGCCCAAATGTGAACACTGGTGGATTTTGAGGAAAATGATATTGGTATTTGGGAGTTTTAGTTGCTGGGATTTATAGTTCACCTACAATCAAAGAGCATTCTGAACTCCACCAACAATGGAATTGAACCAAACTTCCCACACAGAACCCCATGACCAACAGAAAATACTGTATCTTTGGCAACCACTCTTGACACTCCATCACAACCCCCCAGGGGTCCTGACCTCCAGGTTGAGAAACACTACTTTATGAAATAAGATCAATCAGGTAAAGGAACAGAGCTTATTTATGATAGATATTCTGTGATTCTGTTATGTGACTGCCAAACATCTGTACCCAGGAAACCTTTTCCCAAGTTGAAAGTATACATTTTAGCATTCCTTTGCCCCCACCCCATGTGCCTGCTTGGCTGCTTTACAGATTATACTCTCCTTTGATTCTCAAGTGCTGCGAGAAAGCATCCTTACAAATAACCCCCTCCAGCAGTATTAAATAAATGTATTATCAAACTGCTAATTAGTCTAGGAGCGAAATGACTGAAATAGAAGTATTTTGATTTTTCCTCCCCACTCAAAGCTCCTCAGGAGATATGGAAACTTTCCCAGATCTTTTAAGGCCAAAAAAAGAAGACCACTTCTTTCAACTGTGATGTAAAAACGTTACAAGTCTGGTCCTTTGCTTCAGTACAAAGAAATACAGAAACGTGGGAAGGTTCCCTCAGCCTCCCTGTCTCCATAAAGATGTAGGGTTTGGGAACTATATAATAAATGCAAGGCACAGCAGTGTCAAGAATGTTGACATGCAAACAGTGTGCATGCCACAGTATAATTACTGGGTTGCTTCCAGCTCTCTGGGGGAATTTCAGATAACTGACCTACAACCTGATCCTTTGCATGTTTGTTCCAAAAGTAAATCTGTACGAATCTTGATGTGACTGATATGGAGTGAGTACACATAGGATTGTGTAGTCAGTGATTTGTAGAGCTTGAAAACATTTTTGAAGTAGTCCCCCAAATCCCACACCAGATGTAGTCCCCCCAAAAGATTCCCCCCCCCCCAAACTCAAGTAATGTGCATATTTTTGAGAAGTTCGGGCAACTATGCTACTGTTTCCCAAAGAAAGTCAAATCCTGAACAAGGATGTCAACTCATGTTCCTCTCACATCACTCGACCTGAAGACGGCTGTCTCTTTTTTTAAAAGGATAGGAGGAGAAAAGTGTGAGAGAGAAAGACAATGCCCTCAAGCTAGTTCAGCTCTTTGTCCAAACATAATCTACTGTTCCAGATGGGAAATGTTCAAAGGAATATTTATGGCTACTGCTGCATACCTCAAGTTGACATTTGGTTTCATCCTGACAGCACTTGTGCTGGATACACACACATGAAGTTCCCATTAGCAACTCAACAGCTGTAAAACTGTTCAGGGCTTAAAGGATATTGCTTGGTGCGATTATCTGAAGAACAAGAAAAAGGACATGTTGTCAGAGGCAGGAGGAACCACTGTGGTTGAGACAGTTGCCAGCACAGAGGAAACTTTCTTTGAATTTGAGCAAAGATGTATTTCTCTTCATTCTTCTCTCTCTCTCATTCACACGGGGAAGGAGGGATTTGGTTTCATTCTGGAATGTAGAACATAGCAGGCAACTTAAAAGTCAGTGTGGTGTAGGAGGTTGGAGTGTTAGACTTGGATCAGGAACATTTCAAATCACTGCTCAGCTATGAAGCCCACTTTGTGGTTTTGGTCAAGTTTGTTATTTCTCAACCTCTAACCTAGGATTCTAGGAAGCTCTCTTCATTCCGAGTTATACCA